TTCCATTATATATTTATCTCACATTGCATACTTCTTCTCTTTTCCTTCCTTCTCCAGACGCATTTGTCACTTGTTCCCTTTCCTATGAAGGTCAAGGCTATTAGTGCTCCAGGGCAGGTGTGCATTTCTGTGTATGTGCATCTCAAGTGTTCTCACACATATGCGCTGAGGTTCCTTTGCACCAAGAGGCTTAAGTCCGAGCATACAACCCACTCTCCTCTTTGTGCCTTCTTCCTTCCCGGGGGAAAAGCTACTATGTGAAAAAGAAAAAATGGGGTGTAAAGGGCACCAAGTTCCCATTGGATCTGTTCGTCTGTGCCCCATCTGTGCCCAGTCCATGCCGCTCTGCTCTGAACCACAGAAGCTCTACGCTGGCTTTGGGATACAGGAACTTCTAATGTGCTCCTCTGTTGCTCACTGCACATTCAAGGAGTGACAACCTTATGTGGCTCTGTAATTAAGCTGCCATTAATTGTTTTGCCTGGTCCCTGGTGGCCCTGCTCAGCTTTTGGGGGGAAGGAAAAGGCAGATTTATAAGGCTGATGGGCTCTACGCCTAACTGAACAACTAAGTACAGCAAAAACGATTCTTAATTACTGCCTGTTGGTACTAAATTACCCAAAGTCACCTAAGCCAGCAAGCTAACTAGCCATTTACTTCTAGCTAAGTTAAAACTCTCCAGCTCTATAAACACCTCAAATAATAAACTTTTTTTTATCATGCATACATAATTTTTGCAGTGAAACACTTTTTTCAGCGTAAATATTTTAAATTTTGAATATTGCATTGTCCACCTTTAATCCTGTTCTGATTCCACTGTTTTCATCAGCGTCACATAGTGAAATAGTCAAATGTGGAATCTCAGGTGGTTTCCTTGCCCAGCGATGATTAAAAAGTGACTATTTCTATGCCCCCACTCGCCAAGTAAAATGTAAATATAGGGGACAGAAAACAGATCATGGAAAACGGAAAACATTTACTGTTGGAGAGTGGCACGACCCCACTTGTGCCCTTCAGCTGGATGATTGTCGCACAAGTGTATGTGTGAATGCCACACTACAGCCATGAACAGACTCTTTGCTCGCACAACTCCATATTGTACTGGGTGGGTCGCCGTCCCGACAAAGTCTGGCCTCAACTGGCACTTGAGGTGAATTATTGTTTGTGAGTGGAAACTTGGCCAGATAATTTCCCTGCTGCTGGCTCAGGGCTGAGTAAGACCACTGTCTCCTTGCCTGCGCACGTAGTGCATGCACACACAGCTTTTGTTTTACCATCTCTATTTCCACTTCACGCTTATTTGCTGACTCTTTGACTTTTACAATATGTCCTTGTCTGTTCCCTCCATCTTTCTCTTCCTGCTTCTCAACCCCATTTCTCTCCTCTACTCTTTTCCCAACGACTCTGGCCTTTATCCTACAGGCCATTCCCCTCACTGTGGCTGTCCCTGCCAGGGCCGTGCAGTAAATTCCAGGGGTAGTAGGAAACACAAACATGCACAAACCAAGGGCAAGCTGCTCAATCATGATAGACTCTTCCTTACCGCCACCTTGCCTAATGGAATAATTTCTCACAGCTTTCATTCAAACAAGCATTCTTTGTCTGTGAAACTGAGTCTCTCCCCAGGTCTTCTCCTACCTGCGTCTAAAGTGTAATTCAAGTGTCTGCATCTCTGGTTGTTTCGCCAGTCAGCATTGTGCAAATGTTAATCATATAATTGGGGTCTCCTTTGGCAGACATTAACCAATGTTTGGACAGAAAGAGAAACGTGATTACAGTAATTGTGGCTGACCACTGATAGTTTAGGCAAAGAGTGTTCATTATTACAATATTTAAAACCCATCCTTAATAGAAACTTCGTCCTGGCTACTGTCCTGTCTGGATAATGGGTCTAAACAGTCTCTCATAATGAAGCCCTCTCAAACCGAGTGAAACAGGATTATTTTTTATCATCCGTTTCAAACTGCAAAACACACCCCAAGCACTGGTAAACAACTTCATTGAAAAATTCGTACACATCAACCATAATCAGCAGTCTTTCGTGAAAATATGCAACACTACTTTTTTTTTCCCCCTTCAAAAGGAGGAAGTCCTCCCTCCCTTCATGTCTGACCCTTTGCCAATGTGCTGACCCAGTGGAAAATTTGATGTCCGTTCAAGAAACAAAGTAGTGTAGAAAGATTGGTTGACCAAAGGAAGCAATATTCATACAGCACGCCCTCACTGATAAAGACCTGGTTGTGTAAGCAAGCTAATGAGACATCTTCATGTTTGCATTTTCCACTTGCCTGAAGAGGCACATGATCTCCAAATGCACCATGGGCATTTCCAGTCATGTTCGCTTTTAGAAATATTTTGGAAGTAACTGATGATCTTTTTTTAACTTAATTTTTCCATTCCCTCTGGCATGCTGAAATGTCTTAAACCGTTCGCGTCAGTGTGCTTTCTAGAAGTGGGAGAAGATATTGCAACCAAATTGTTCTGTGAGAACGGCAGACGCATTCACGCTGTGTCGCTTGCTAGACACTCTTCAGCAAAACCTGCAATTATTTGTCAAGTTATCTCGTCTCATAGTGTGTACCCCAGCAATTAAAGTTCTATGTTGGGATGGGCAAACACAAACGCAGCAACGATCTTGTAACAAGAGTTGATGCTTAACTTTTTGTTCTTCTATTATTTCTCTGAACCCATGTGTATTCTTTTTAATCTGCATTGTGGCTGTGGATGTATTTTGTGTGCGTGTGGAAGTTGCCTTGAAGGCAAAATCGTATTTTTGGAGAGTTTTGGTCTGCCTCATGATTAATGCCTACCCAAACTGCATGAACATCACATTACCATGCACAAAGGCTAATGACACTTGACATTTGCTGTAGTTCAAAAGATGCTCCAGAGCATCTGACAAATTTCCATAGAAAAACTGAGTCAGTAAGCTCTCTACCACAGCTGAGGGAAAAACCATCAGTCTTTAGCCATTTAAAACTCACTATATGCATGTGAAAGTATTTACTGAGTTATTTCCTTGTTATATTAATTGTAAAATCATTTAGAATGATATATTTCTTTGATATAATGTACTGTCCAAAAACAAACTATTCTCTGATTACATGTATTACTCTAAAATGTTGTGTATGCACCCATACTTGGGAGGGCCATATTTTGGGCATTCTGTTTTTTACAGTTCCAAACTATTCACATTGATATAACATTTTAATAGTCTCAGCTCAACAAACAGGCATGACACGGTGAAATTTCTATTTGTTCTCTGTCAGTGCAAAAAAACTGCCACTCCACTGCAATCATCAGCCAATGACAGGAAAGAATATTTTATGGGAGGTTGATGAGTTCAGCATGAGGAATTTTATGTTTTGAAATCATGAAACCTTTAGAACCCCTGAAATTATGTCCTTCTTTGTGTTCTTATACATTTTGAGGTCAACAGTAAGATTAGAAACAAAGGCCATGTTAAGTTAACCAGTAGCTGATTCACTTGTGTTGCACAAAAACTACAAATGAGGTAACTGTTTGCTCAGTCTGATGAGAAGTTTGTTCATGTCGGTTAGAGTCTGTTTGTGTTGCTGCTGTCAGTTTCTTCTAATGCTTGAAGAGTGAAAATAGGAAAAGAAAGAAGGGGATGATGCATGGACTGACAGTGATAAGCAAAGAGAAATGGGTGGGATCAGTGTTACATTAGATAGACATCTGCTCTGGGTTGGTCAACACATAAGTCTACAAGCTGGCACTCAGGAAGCCACCAAAACCACTGACAGCCAACTGGAAAAAAGGCAGATGTAAAAATAGATCTCTACTTTGGGACTATAAAGTTTGAAGGTTCACAGAGCAAAGCTTGTTAAACCCTGCTAGATCAGCTGAGACTTGGATGACTGTTGGTTGTGCAGGGGAAAATATCAGCATCTGAGCATGGCTGTGCACAGCCCCAGTTTGGGTTTCAGAGCAAAAGAAATGACAGCAGAAAAGTGTGAGGGGGCGAGTGGCATATGCGGCATACTCAGAAGTGACTTTGACATATCACAGCTTGATAAAAACCTAAACCATTATATCTGTCTATGTATCCCTATACATAGTTAATTGCTCTGTGTTTTTCAAAACGATCAAAAGTCAAATCATATTCATGAAACCAAACGACTGCACGAGCTAAACTTGAAAAATCAGCTTTCTTCATGCATCTCTTCCTCTTTCTGCAAAATACTTTCTCCCTTTGACATAGTAATGACTCAGAAACTCTGGGATAACCTTTTTCAAGCTTATACAGCATAAACATGTTGACCTTTCCCCTGTTTACAAATCTGCTGAGATGTTTTTGTACATTCAGGGCTATTGTGTTAATGATAAATCCCATTATGTCAGGACAGCAAGTATATTACACTGAGGCTTGACCTTAACTGGACTTCTTTTTGTTCATCATCTACCACCAGTCCTTTTTTAAAACCCGGGAAACAAACATACAAAATTAAAACTCATTGTACAAAACTGACTTTCTCTTTTAGTTTCTGCACAGGCGAGATGGGTACTGCAGTAAAATGTTTTCTCTTTGCACATGAACTTCTCTAATGATGAAAATTCTGACAGACATTTTGTATTTCTGGTTCACTGACTTTTAGTGGCTGATGTGTTGAACCCCTTACTGTTGTACATACTGCCGTTTGAAGCGTAAAACATATGACTTAGTTCAGTAATGTACACGCTGTTTATGTTCTATGAACTGGTTGAAAGACACAGAAGACTGCTCAGTGCTAACACTGTCTTGCTGTACGGCTACTTTCATTGATCTGATCACAGAACATAATTAACTCAGACGTACTGAAGAATCGCAAATAATGCTGCCATTGAATCCGGAGAAGAAAAAAAGCCCCGCTACGTCATGGAAATAATGACGTCAGGTTTGATTACACTGAGGAGAGTGCCTTGTGTTACTGAGGTGGAGTTCAGGCTTTCAGACGGCAGAAACGATAGTGATGTTTTAGTCCGTGCTTTTCACAGGCTGCATCATATGAAGGGGGAACTATTCAATAATCCTGTTATTACAAAGCGACTCGGGAGCAAAGAGGGAATACGAGGGGATGATGACGTAACCGTTTCCATAGGCGACTGATATGCTGCTTAGACCAATGGGAATCCACTTCAGCGGTCCATACCCATCCTCCATTTGACGTGCATCACATGTCCCTGGCGGTGTTGTGACAGAAGGGAACAAAGTGAGGCAAGAAGATTCACTGCGGTGCACTTCCGTGTCCGCCGAATGGTACGTTAGAGAAACTAGATCCTGTTTTTGGAGATGGGGTCGTCCTCAGTCTGAAATATGACATGGTGCAATGTCATATTTCAGTTTAATGCTTGTGATCCAACACAAAGGATTACGAAGGAAGACGAGGATTAAGATGCTAAATAAAAGGAGCTAACTCAGTTCTGCTATCGCTCCATAGCGACTTGGTCCGAAACAGATTAGGCTTGAGTTGTCAGTTAGACGTTCATTTGGGTGCATTTTGGAAATATGAAGTCAGTTCTTCCTCACGATGGCAATTTCTAACAGCGCATGTGGAGTTTCCGGTGTGGTGGACTTGAGTTTCCACAGTGCGCATGTGAACGATAACTATCTTGACAGCTCACGCCAGAGACTTTGGCTGTGGCTGTGACAGCGCAGTGGGCGGGATTTTACCTCAGATCAGGGGAGAGAGTCTAGTCTTTGGTGAGACTGAGGGGGAGTGAAAGACAGAAAGGGACCTAGGTAGCGTTCCAGAGAACGGAGTAAGTATTTCTAATGGCTAAATGCTCTCTGCTTATCTGATAAAACGTTACGACATGAGCTTTGATCCCGCGTGCTTTGGACATTGCAGATAAAACCCTGACCTGTTAAATCTATTTTTTGTGCAAAGACCAGCGAGGGCCAGCCACTGGTGGGTAGCTGCTGGCTGTATACGAAGCTAACATCGTTAGCCAGCGTTATATCTTGGTCAGATACTGACATTGGGCGTCTTATTTTCCAAGCCAGGCTGCTAATGTTGCAGGATGCTGTCATATTTTCCCTGTTAGTCCTTTATTATTTTACCTCGCGTATGCTTTGCACAGGACTAAGTTTTTCGACTTGTCAATCTGTCAGAAGGACCTTTTTTGGGGGAATTTCTCCTCTTTACAATCAGCATTCGCGAAAGGCATGGCAGCTAGTTGGCTAATACTGTACGCTAGCCAGGAACGATGTTTTAATGGCTGTGGTGAACGGCAAATTAACGGTGAGACGTCGAGGTTCATTATAGTCTTCCTGTTAACAACGCTTGACACTTCCACTTTGGTCGCCTGTCGCGTTACGGAAAGTTACGTTTATTTCATGAGCGGACGAATTCCAGAGTGTCTCTATTTCACTCATTCAATCCATTGGAAATGTCTCGCAGCCCATATGAAACGCTGATGGGTAAAAGTCATGTACCGTTAGTGGGGGTAAGGCTGCTAACGACACCAGCGCGTGGACCCGAACGCGCACAGCACGCGGAGCTCAGAGAATAACCTGCGTTTTGGAAGCGGGCTCTCACGAGGGCAACTTGGAAAGAGCCGACAGAGGCACCAGTACGGGCACATAAATAAACCCCCCCTCGACTGTTAATCACTACACAGCGGACTTTAGGTCTTTTTATTGACCAACAGCGCCTTCCATTCACACGGGGGGGATGTAATTCACCGGCGTGGCTCCTCGTCGATCTCCGTCCGGCGTCACTATATTCTACACACATTATTCGGTTGTTAATCTCATCCTGTGCACGCTTAACTCCTGCCACGGACGGCAGGTCTAGCACGGATCCCTTATTCTGTCTCTCGGCAGCGTTCCTAGCGAACCATCCGTTTTTATATAAAAAGAGAAAGCAGTTAATTGAACGACTTGCAGGGCCGCTGAAAGTCAAGAACAGAAAAGGGGGGGACCTTGAAACGAGCATGTCATCTTTTCTCTATTTCTAAGGCTTTGCGGTTTCCGTCAGATGACGTACGTTAGCGCCGCATAGCCTTGGTGGGCACTGTTAAATATTCCGCAGTCCCGAGCGGAGCCTTGTGCCCGCGTCTGCCCGCGTCTGCCCGGGCTGCTGCGGAGTGCCCCCCCCCGGGCACCTTTCGGTGTGGAGTTGACGGGATCACTCCTTATCCTATTAAAAGTCGCCCGGCTTGCTGCAGCCCAGCGGTGTCTTCCCGCGTTTGTGTAATGACTGGTGATCCTATAGTGGTTCACACGTGGTGCTTTAATCTCCGAATGCATTATACAGGAGAATCTAGAGCAGGGAATATGACTAATTTGATGGCAGAAGGCGTGCGATGGGTTAGGAGTCGTCATCTACGGATTTGGTACATGATTAAATGACAGCCATCGCACTTCATAGGCAAATACATGACACTATAGGAATAAAGAATAGCATGGGCTTAGTTTTAGTATCTACAATCTTTAGTCATTTATTGTTTTGTTTTCAGAACAGATTAAATGACAGATTTTCAGGGTTTGCACCGTGTGATATATCATTGTGGCTGTATAATGATTCACCTAAATCATCAGTCAGTCTTTTCCTGTGTCTCAGCCCTTTGAACTCGGGCTGTTGCTGTCACTCAAGAATGACAAAAATATCCCCTCATATTCTTTGCTGTACAGTGCTCATTTTAAAGGTTTTCTGTTAAGAATGCAGCATACAAAGACTAAAGATGGATTCAGTGCTGGTTGCCTTTACACTGCTAAATGCTACCTGCAGACATTAGATTATTTGACCTGCTTAGCTGTGGCTGTGGTTTCTCTATAACCCGTTGCAAATTGTGTCTTGTCTGTTAATCTAACATTTGGCTTACTTGATATCTCTCCTGGCATGCAAGTATTGAGGAGTCGCAGGGTGTAAGTCACACTGAGATAATGCAGTACGTGGAGGCACTTATCATTTGTTTGCAACTTAATCACGGATAGTTAGAAAACTCTGCTCTGAAGCTGTTCACCGTGTGACGCAATGTCAACTATGACCTTAATTCCTCACTTTAGTATTTTGCTTTTCAGGTTTTTGCACGTTGTCAGTGTAGAGAATTATTTTTAAAAATGTAGTGGCTGTAGGTGTAAGGTGACATTGAGTCATATGTGAGCAGGCATCGAAGCTAAACATAGTAGGCTGTTGTACCATGACATACAATGCATTTATAATCTCACGTACTCATGATCCGAGTTTTGCTTATCTATCTTGAGTGTGGACCGTAAGGCCAAAGTTATCGCAAGCAGTGGTATTGGTTACGTAGGGTCACCCATTACTATTCATTCATTCAAATACTGCATCAGGGGGCACATGTGTGTCTACAGGTGATAAACTTTAACATGAAGTTAAATAGAATAGGTGATATTAACAGAAAATGGCACAAATAAAAATTAAATCTTGCTTACTGAAATTGTTTAATGTAGTTGCACCAAATATCAAAATACAGTTGTCTAGATATGTCTTATTTGTATGTTGTGATGTTTACCAAACTGTATACCTTTTCCGTTAGCTAACTTCAAATTCCCCAGATGTACTGCAGCTAACCTCAGTTCATTTGGGGAAATTCAGCAAAGTCATTTTGTGCATTTATTGAAAGCGTACACATTCCTTTAAAATGCGCGTGTGTGTAGTGGGAACTGTTTGAAATCGGACCTTTTAAGTGGTAAACTTCTATTGGTATTGTTAACATTTGTACCAGCAGAAATGTTTCTACAGCACATCTTCTGATTGGGTTACCGGTGAAGCTGCCAGCACACCACTCAGAGCAGCCTGAATGACAGAGTGCAGGTGGCCATTGTGAGCCCTTAGGAGCAAAAGTAGCCCACGTGGAATTGCATTTATTAGTAATTTGAGCCCTAAAATGAAACCTTACAACATAACATTTATGGGGAGTAAGGAAAAGCTGCATTATTTACTGTACGTTTTTGAGAAATGAGTGTAATGCTCATGTCAATAACCCCTTCCGAGAACTGAAATTGCTTGGAGCATCAAGGTTGGACTGAGGCAGGGCTGCAGGGCTTAGAGGCTGTTGTCTTGAATAAAAACAAACCGCTTCACTTTCTCCAAGTAGCTCAATACAAATTGCAACATTTTGAAATATTTTAAGTCCTCTTGCTTTCAGGAAGACTCTGAAAGCAAGTCTACTAAACACCCTCCCTGGTTTTCTAATCCTTTATGGTGTAAACTACAACCACTAAAGTTGCCTCACTGATGCTAAAAGCTAGAATTTGCAATAGCTATTTCAAACTGAAGCTGACCAGTCCCTTAAAATATGAACCACTGTGTGTGTGTTTATTTGAAGTTAGTTTTACATTTCTTTAATGGTGAGAAATTAATGAGTTATTTAGACTTAGATATTTAAGTACACAAGGTTTTAAATACACCATAAATTAATTGATCTGTACATTTTTTATTTATTTATCATCTAAACAAAAAAATGTTTCCCAGTTACCTTTTTTTAGGGCTTTGAAGCTCAAAGACATCATGATAAAAAATTTGAAAGAGAGCTTTAGATTGAAGTGAGGCCTACAATCAAAATTCTCCTTTACCTTTATATTTAGTATACTATATTTTCTCAAATGGAGAACATGGCCAATGTTTATCTAAATGGCTTTGGATGGATGGATGGATTGACACCAGGTCTGCCTTTTAAATTTTAGCCATTTGCTCAGCTTTTTGCATCAGTTGTTGGTGGAAAAATAATGCTTGACGTTTTTAAGGAATAGTTCAGACACCCTCAGCTTTGCACACAAAAGCAAAACTCATTGGGGTCTCCCATCTGCAACAATGTGAAACATTTACCTTGTGCTGCATTTCCAGACTAGTCTGAGCTTAACCTGAGTGCAATGTATGGAGACATCTTCACAATCTATGACAGTCTGAGACAGGATGTTATGTCGTTTACAAATGTATTCACATGTTTTCTATTTCCCTTTCCTCTACAGATACCTCCTTTGCGCCTGATACAAAGCACTTTTAGAACATGCGCAGGCTTGCATGTTAAATTAAATGTACTAACAGCCATATAGGAAGTGGCTCATAGTTAAATAAAACAGTGGGCTCAGGAACGAGTGCATTGTCGATTTATGATGATATGCAATGATTCAACCGAGAATCAAATTTCTCTTACACTGAATGATTGAATCTTAAATCCAGGTGAAGATGGCACTCTTTTTATCCTAAGTGCCGTTATCTATATCTTCATACAGGGTAGAGAGGGGTCAGAAGACCAAAGGGGTGTTGCTGTTGACACATTCTCATGAACTGGCAGCCTGACAGTCTTTAAGAGCCGTGTAGAGGTTCCAGTCTGAGAGGTGAAGTGGCACTCTCAGCCGCCAGCCATGCTGCATAAGGATGGCTGGGTGTCTCTGCTCTGTAGCCTCCACATTTTCATGGCCTGACCCAGTTCAGCTACGGCTGGGCGATGGGGGGAGGGGACAGTCTGGGGGAAGCTAAAAATACCACATCTCGCATTAGGCGGCTCCATTGCAGAGGGATCCCTAGAATTGCTACCCTCCACTTGCATCAAGCTGTTGGCACGTGAAGGTGTTTAAATTACCAGAGGGTTTCCTAAGTGTAAACACAAAGACATGAGAATATTTCTGCGACACCCACTACCATTATCCTGTCGTCTCGCTTCCCTCCGGGACCGTGTCCCGGATGGAGGTTTGGTTTTTGTGGTGCATCAAACGAGAAACGCCAGGCGTAAACGGCTTGAGGAGATGAGACTTACAAATCTCCAATCCACGGGTTAAATCGGCACATATGCGAGCCGAGCTGGGCCTGTGCTGCGTTTGTGGGGAAAGGGTTAACTGTAGCCTCTGCCATTCAACCATACCATGCCAGCTGTTGGCTTGGAGATCCAATCACAATGATTTTCCACTGTTGTGACATGTGACCTGCTCCGCAACCCTAAACTGACGCAGCTCAGCAAATGTTGGCACTTCCTTCATCTTGGCGTTGCTGCTGCCCGTTGGGTTGGGGAGTGTGAATGTCTGAGAGGGCTATTACAGTAAGACTTTAAGATACGAGAAGCCAGAGAATTACGTTCATTACCGTAGGCTGCTGCTCGTGGAGCTCGGAGAGAAGGAGACATTCTCACCATTCGATGCATATTCATGTGAGGACATTAATACAATTAAAAAAGAGGCAGATCGCTTCCTAATTTTTCCTTTTTTTTTTTTTTTTTTAGCCCAACAGTTCTATTTCAGTGTGATTTAGTTAGTTGGAATTTCTTAAGATGTATTTTAATGTTTAAAGCCATCCTTTTAAGATATAAAAAATTAACAATATTTATTTATTTTCTTAATGATAATGACACAGATGTGATGTTCCCCGAGTGTCAAACATCATTGTGTAAACATCATCTGCTGATTTCACTCATCAGCACATCCATTATTCCAGTCTTTGAATCCACAGCAGCCAGTTGGGAACAGCATAGATCTTTAGAAAAATTGTTATTATAGGTTTTGTGTTTTACAAGAGTTTTCCCTCTTGTATACAAATAGTGGCTGTTCCTTAATGACACTCTTGCTGCTGCGTTGTTTTCCTCGTTGGTACCACGTCCCACTGATTCTGTGAGTTCTAGGGACTTGTATTTTATCTTATGAGAAAAATAAGAGCTCTGTATCTACATTTCGCAGCCTGGACCCAGGTGCAGCTCCCTCTTCTATTTGATTATTAAACTAAAACACTTTACTTCCATTTTAGGCTTTACATTGACCACAAATCACTTTATGTAGGATGCGTTTTAACAATCAGTGGTTTTGTGAAATGAATATTTTTGCAGGTTGAATGTGGGTAACTGCCAGTATTCTAAAGATGGTTTTTGATTGTGTGTTTGTCTCAGACACTGAAAATCTCATTATATGCTTTTTTCCCCTGCTGCTCCAACTTGGTCTGTGTTGAAAGTGATTAGTGTTGACTTGTTTTTTTGGGTTTACACAATGCCTAAACTCAAGTCTGTGGAGTACATCCCATCTGGTCGGTTTGTTTGCAATGAATTGAATTAGTCCTTTTTAGTTTAGAAAAGAAAATTCCTCGCTAAAAAGTGCGGCAGCTGCTTTGCCTCAGCATCTTATTACATAGTTGTTGTTTTTTAGATAAATGTATTTATTTTCTTTTATGTGAGTTTCTCCAACACTAACTCTTATCTACATGGCCTACATGTATGAATCGGCCTCATTGTGTTGGGCTGATAAAAGCTGAATGGACAGCAGCCTCCTGTAAGAGCGTGCTCTCCATGTAGAGCACCATGGAGCTCCCTCATGCCAGAGATAGTCTTAATTAGATCAAACAGAGGGCTTTTCCAGAGCTAATCAGTCAGTTGGTCACTGTTCATTACATTTCCCACCAGTTGCACAGTGGGAAATCTAAAGGCCTTTCTGGATATGGTTATTACTTTTCTGATCATTATCGCTCATTACCTACTTTTTATTGTTTTTTAAACCATTCTTTTCCTCAGTGACAGGCCTGTGTGCCAGAGATCGCGGGGGAAGCATGCTTCAGTGTCAGTACTTAAAGGCCTCATTCGAAGAGGAATCGGCTGCATTTGTCATTTTACGTGTTTATGGTGATTTAAACAAACATGTTTTTAACAGACGTGGGTTGGAGTGTTAATGAATTCAGAATCCAAAAAGTCCAATCTTAGAAAAAAAAAAATAGGTGAGTCATCCATCATTATCAGCTTTTAGTTTACCACAGGAGCAGGTGAAAATTTGAATTCTGGACCCACTGTTCTTTATCTCCTGTTTGAAAGCTGCCTCAGAACAGCTCGGGGTTTGTGAAGAACTCAGCAGTCATGAAGATCATTGATACTAAATGTAGAATTTAGATTCAGCTTTTAATGATCAATGTACCCCTTAGAAAATGTTTTTCAGCCTTAATGATCATTTCCCTCAAAAACTACACCTGTCACATCGGCAGTTAAACTGCTTTCCATTCTTAAAGGGGAAGTGCATGCATAGGCAACATTAAAACATATTTTTCACATACTCTTTCCCCTGAAATGGAACGGGCATCTCCTGGTAATAAAAAGGCAGACTCGCAGGATGCTCCAGGTTTTTGTTTCTCTGTGTTTTACACGAGCAACAACCACGGACAATTTCTGCCTGACGTGCAGATGTTATTTGCTCACCAGAGATTACACGGGGCTTGTCATCATCAAGTGGTTTCTCAGCCGTGTTGTGGATACGAGGACAAGGAGATGCGAGTGAGGCTGGATGGGTTGGAGGGCGGCTCGTCTCTTCCAGAGCAGCTGATGAGGCCCTGAAGAGATGCTGGGGAGCACTGCTTCTCGTTAGCAACCGCAGCCTAGCCCAGAGATTCTCAATCTGATAGTAGCAGAATTATTTTTGTATGGAGAGCCGATTGTGTTTTGGGCTTTGCGTTGTGTGGATTTGTGGCTTTAACGTGAACTTTGTTGGGGACACAAAAGTCAGTGTTTGGGGCAGTGTGCGCCCCAAGTGTCGGAATAGCTTTGATCCATCATAATCACCTTTAGCCGCTGGCACTGATTCGGGCAGCTGCGGACATCTGTTTAGCTTAATTTGTTTCATTTGGCACAAAATAAGATAAAATGCAGCCCTCTAAATCCAGCACAGGTGAGGCATATGGAGATGCTGCAGGAAAGAAAGCACAGCAGTGGTTATTTAATGCTCCTGCTGCAGTATGCACACGGCATTGACTGATAGGCAGGGATTTCATCCAAATGACAAAATTATCTTTAGTTTATAACCAAAGCACAGCTACTAAAAATCTCTAGCCTTTGACTTTAAGCAGTTCAGTTTGCATTTTATCTGGGCACCCCTGGGGGTTTGTTACCCTTTCACTTCCCTCACTGCAGATGGGAGCACTTTCTTCCCCCTTTTTGAATAGGTTTGCCGGTTGTATTTGTAACACAAAGAAGAAAAACAACAAGACGGGCAGTAAGAATCAGCAAATAAGGGCACATTAATTTCACCATAGCTTTTTTTTTTCCAGACAGAGCATGGTGTTTTTGTCTGAACGCCTTCTCTGTAACCTGTGTGTAACATTTGACTTTAATTGTTCTGTCTCAAATGAGCGAGTTATCTACGCCACGTGCACTTTTGCTCCCCGTATAGCACTGCAGATGCTGGCTTTTGGTCTGCGCACTGATGATAAGCCAGATGGTCTCTCTCCTCTTTAGCCTGGAGGCTGGAGCGTCCAGGATTTCCAAAAAAGAACTTCATATTTTCCATCAGACCAGAGGACAATTTTCCGCTTCACCTCAATCAGTCTTAAGCACAGAAAGGGTAGAAGCATTTCTGGGTCTTGCTCACAAACTCGTTTTTTTTTTTTCTTTAAAGTCTTGGTCGAATTTTAACCTGCTTTTATGGATGACACGACAGACTGGCTTTACTGTCTACTGATGTGTTTCAGAGCCGATGCAGTGATTACCTCTACATGTTTCTAATGCACCGCTGCATGGATTATGGCCAGTCAGTGTTTGTTTTCAGCCTGGCCCCATGGGAGAGAAAGCTTTTCCTCTCCTCGTTTTATTCTTTGAAGTCCTAAATGAAATAAAAAAAAGGGTTTAAGATGGTTAAAAAACTGTCTTTTAACTGTTGTAAATTCGCAGTGAATTCATTTTCTAATCAGCTCTTATTAAAAGCATTTTGCAGCTTATCCTATTTTCCGTTTTTCCGCTGCCATTGCAATGAAAATATACATATTTTTCCAAACAATTTTTAATAAAAAAAAAAAGATTTATATATATATATCATGTCCTCCATAGGCTTTAAACAATGCTCAAATCACACATTCTTTGTCTTGTTTAAGTGCCCGACATGGTTGGAAAAACCTGTCCAACCGGTTTGGGGGCGGGGGGGAGATCAAAGAAACAGTATTTCTACCCATTTTGTCCAAATAATACTCACTTGTAATAGTTTTTCCCCCCTACTGCTTAATATGACATTTTGTGGAGTCACTTCTGACCTTTTCCTGCATTTGCTCTTCTCTTTCAGATCTGCATGAATGGTGATCTCCGGCTCTGTGGGTGATACGTAGTCACCATGAATGACTAGGAACTCAGCTCTCCAAGGGAAATGGCTTGTTTTGTAATATCCCTCCTCTCCAGCCTGGTGTATGACTCCCGCTGCCTGTGAAGGGGCCTGTCAGCTGTTTATGGGAGCTATTAGTGTGCTTGCACTCTTGAGGATTTAAGCTTTTTTTTTTCCAGGAGAGCACCTCTGTTTTACCCCCACTGTCGAGTCAAAGCACCAACGCTTTGCAAAAGACTGGGGAAGCAGCAAGACAATGGCGAACAACTCGTACAGTGGGGTGAAGAACTCCATGGTGGAGGCCAACCACGATGGAGACTTTGGCTGCAATCTTAAAGATTTGCGCTCCTTAATGGAACTGAGAGGCGCCGAAGCGATAAGCAAAGTTGGGGAAACTTATGGGGATACTCAAGGACTCTGCAGCCGATTAAAAACATCACCTATAGATGGTACAGTAACGCTTTACTAAACTCTGCACAATTACACTAGCTTTTACTAACCGTGCAGGTGGTGATTGTTGTTTTAAACATTGGGCTTAAACGGTGTTTGAGGCGTGTCATTGGCTATCATGCATACCTTGACATCACTTCCCAGGAAACGCTTATATGCCAGACAGGTGGCCAGGCCGGCTGGCTCTGACATGGGCCAATACTGATCTATTTCAAGGCCTGTGGAAATGTCCCTCACACCCTCT